AAATATCGCACATTTTATTAATCTTTAACATGACATTGAAAATTCCATTTTTATTTTTGTTACAATGATCGATCCTGTCCACAGTGTGTTCCAGTTCAAGTTCATTGAGTACCAAGTACGATCCGGATCTCTTGAAATCTGACGTCGCACTCGCGAGGAGTCGAGTTTCCCGGCTGAAACGAGAGCTCGAACAGATCCGAGCTGAAATGAACTGTACACAACGAGGGGTGGACACTCTTGCAAGGTATGTTAATGTTTCCCCTCAATATTCAAACTGTACTCTTAGTTAAGTTATGACTAAAACTTCGAACTGTCCGTCTCCCTCGATGGGGAATTTAAAAAGTATACGTGCATGTATAAGATATTCAGGATAGAGTATCTCATTGTAATATTTAGCGAATTTTATTGTGTTTCGTACTCGCAACGTTATGAATTTACATAAATACGCGCGGTCTAATTGTGAATCAATACGTATCTATTAAAGATATAAATTCTAATTTCCTTTGTTATTTCCCTTGTTATTTCTGGATACAGCGTCGAGCAGAAATTGAGCGGACATCATGGTGGTTGCTACAACATCACGGAGGCTCAGGCGATCATGACAGAGCTCCGAAACATTCAAAAGTCGCTGAGCTCGGGCGAGAAGGAGAAAGCTGAGTTGATGCAGTCTCTGGCTCAATTGAAGGACGAGCTGACGAGACTGCAGCTCTGCGAAGGTAGTCCCGAGGCTAGCACGCTCAGCTTACCTCAGGAGAAGCTTAGTACAGCCTCTCAGACCGATCTGTCCGGCGAATTAGTTCCAATTGGCACCCGACTCGCCGAAATGGCACGGATGAGGCTGCAGTACGACGAAGCAAGAAAAAGGATACAGCACATACAGCAACAATTAGCGGACCTGGAGGAAAAGGTGACGCCTGGTCAGACAGAAAGCGACAAGGATAAGTTGCTACTCTTTCAAGAGAAAGAACAGTTGCTGCGAGAACTAAGAAGCATCACGCCACGCACCAGAACGCAGCAGGATATGAAAAAGATCCAGAGTGAGATCCGCCGCCTCGAGCAGGATCTAAACAACGCGCTTGAATTGTCGAACAAGACGATTACTGATCGCGTGCGACTACACGAGGAGAAGCAACTGCTGTTGCAACAGTTGAGGGACGCTTTACGCTCGATGGCGATGCTCGAGGGACAATTGAAGACTCTTAGCGCGAGCACGCTCTCGGTGAGCAGTAGTTCCAGCCTTGGAAGTCTCAGCACGACTAGCAGCAAAGGTTCGCTTAGCTCTGGACTGAGTTTCACCGATATTTACGGTGGTCCTCAATGCCTCGGCCCTGTCAGCTCCCAACAGGAACGACCAGTTGACATGGTCGATCTGCACAGACGGGTAGAAAGATTGCTCAGAGGTTCGGAACAGAATAATCTCGCCAGTACACCCTCTCCGGGTCGATCGCAGCCGAGCTTATCACCGAGATCGAGTTTGTCCAGCGTCAGTCCACCGGTTTCACCATTGTACGAAAATGCTCCGATGGGCCCACCGCCGGCTTACGAACACGTAGAGATGCAGAGACGACAACATCAGAGAGCTACGACCTCCTCTAGCGCTCACTTAGATGGAAGTCAATTAGAGGATCGTTTGGCGGAACTTAGGCTTACTCAACAACAAACGTCGTCTCACGAGCAATCCTCTGTTGGTTCTCAGGATCGTCTTAAATTAGTCGGTGGTCCACATCCACCTGTCGAATTACAGTCTGGTAATATGTCTCAAGGAAGCGGCCTTGGCAGGCCTGTATGTGTTATACAGCATCAAGTGCCTTCGCAAGAACCACCGCCTCTTTCGCCGATAAGCGAGACACCTCCTCCTACTGGTATTCGTTCAAGAGCCAGCAGTTCTGGCACGAATACCAGATCCGTCTCTGCTGCCGTTTCCGACGAAAGTGTCGCGGGTGATTCAGGAGTATTCGAAGCTTCTAACCGAAGGAAACTTCCTGGTGCGATTGGCGATGTTAATTCGCTGTCGCTTGGCGAAATGAGCTTGGAGACAGCACAGGTGCAAATTAAGCTTAGGTTTGTTTCATATTTCTATAATTATGTACAATTAGTTTGGGTAGTGAAGAACCATATGAGATACGTAGACGACGAGTCGGAAAATGTTTGTTTCGTGATTTTATCTATGAGTGAAGTGATAATTTAGTGGTAGTGATTTTGATTATAAAATCATGTAGCTATGTAACCCTATAAAAGTGCTAAAATAATGCCATTTGAATTGCATATGATGGAAGATACTAAGCATATTATTACAGATATGATATTAGAAAAGCTTAATTGAAATTAATTCATCTTATCTCATATGGTTCCTATCTTCTGAAAACAGTATTTTATATTTCTAAGTGCTTAAATGAACAATTTATTTGTTTAGATATTCTGTAAGTGATGGTTTGCTCCATGTTGGAATTGAACGTGCCAGAAATTTGGCTGCTCTTTTTATACCTAACAATACGCAAGTGTGAGTATTTAATCATATCATTTTATTATTATTCAAACGTTTGAATTCAATTTTAACGCATGTGAATGCCAGAAGGAAAAAATAATGTATAAATGTTAGAATTTAAAAGTAGTAAAAAATTGTGTTATTTATTATTATGAAACGTAGCCAATGAAAAATTTAGATAAAATATAAATATATACGATGTTCAAAGTCACGCTGACTTTACTCCGTTAGGAATGAAAATTAAAAATGATGAAAAGTAACAGTGGTTTTTTTCTCCATTTGCATTTAGGTATATAAAAGCTGCGTTGCTTCCGATGCAACCGCCCGTTAATCACATGTGTTGTACAAAACCTGTTGTGGATCTGCGCAAACCAACCTTCGGCGAAACATTCCCGATTGCAGTGCCACTCAACAAACTGTACACGAAGACATTGCAAGTTAACGTTTGGTGTACGGGCAACGAGTCTGAGGAGTGCTTGGTACGTGTGTCTTCCTCCTCTTTCTTGTTTCTTTCTTTTGAATATCAAGATGGCAATAAAATATTAAAATCATTGAATGCTTGTCTAACATGCAATAAGGTTCTGGCGAGTTACTAATTTATTAACTATTCAATTTTTTATAATTCAAGCTTTTATAACAACTATGATTGCAGTACAACGAACAGGATAAAATAAAATTAACAAATAATTTATACGTTTTTACAATTAGTCCTTTTATTAATTTTACTTCATTTTATTTGCATTAGTTTTTTCTTTTTCTTTTTCTTTTTGCTTTTAATTAAAAATAAATCTAGAATATCTATTGCACAGTCACGACTTGTTTAAGTGGTATCTTAACTTCATCTTTCTCGTTTCAGGGATCCGCCCAAGTGTCCCTTGCAGACTTTAGTCCAGAATCGCCGAGCGTGAAATGGTACAACATACTTTCCTTTCGCTTCATGCAACCATCCGACAGCCCAAGCACTAGTACCAGCAATAGCAATAGCATCTCCATCAGTGTAACGAGGCAGGCCAAACACGACAAACAAGAATCAGACTTATCAATGTATCGTGCTGGACAGAATACAAAGGAAGAAAGCAGCGACGAGAGTACGATTATCAGTTCTCAAACGTCGACTTTGACAAGAAATCAGGGATGCGATGAATTGCAGACGGCAATCTCGTTAAGGCTGGAGGAGCTAGCCAATTGCTTGGGAAGTCCGGAAGAAGAAGATGAGAACGGTGGAAGTGAAAGCGGAAGTGAAGACAGTGACGAAGAAGGAATTATTGTGGAATTTACGGTGGAAGATAATGTTCTAGAAGACGTGTTAGAACACGAGGTAAATACTACTTTGAAGTATATCTTTTATAGTTAAGTAATTTTTCTACTTTTTCTTATTTAAATACATAATTTTCTTAGCTCCGATTTTTACCTTCGTGATTTTTAAATTCTTGAAATAAATAATTGCAGGAGGACGAAGAATTGCACGAAGAATCAAGGCAGACTCAGGACAAGGAGACTAATACTGAATGTGTCTTCATCCCAGAACAAGGAAAACAGAGGAAACTTTCAGCGGCCGGTGTTGTTTCTAGCGCTATGCACGATGACAAAAATTCTATAGTAATCAAAAGAAGCCAAACGTTTTCACCTAGTGCTGCAGTCAGTAAAAATCACTATATTTGTCGAGTAAGTATTCTACCTACTTTCTTTTTCAGGATTTTTGTTTAAATTTTACCAAGCAGTGTAATATTTCATGTTACAGCTGAATCGAAGTGATAGTGACAGCAGTATGCCACTTTATCGCAGAGGCGGGCCTTTCCAACGAAATTCAGTTGAAAGACGTTCCCTACGGTGGCGAAGACCTTTGTCCGCTCTCAGTTGTAAAACTGCTTCGAAAAAATCCACTAATTTGCCACCTACCGCTAGAACCTCGTTGGATCTCGAATTAGATCTTCAAGCTCAACACGCTAGACTCAACAATCTCCAAGATGAGTTGAGTAGATTGCGAGAATTAAAGCAAAGGTTAGAACAAGCGCGAGAGAAGGGAGACATAGATTTTGCAACGTGGTTGTTAGAGGACCACAAGTTCCAGAACCTAATGGCACAAGCTGAAAGTGGGAAAAACGGTAAAAGTGCTGAGGATAAAAGAGTAGAGAAAATGCTGAAGAAAACTTCGAAAGAGATCTACAAATTACGGAAAACAAAAGCTGGGAAAGGGAAACCTGATATTATTTCATTCAAGTATGTATATTGCTATTTAATACATTTGACAATGCGGTCTGTTGACAAATTATTGAAAGTAAAATCAAACATATTAGTCATTCGATAAAAAGAAGTGCGTATGTCTGTAAGTAAATCTTAATTCTTTTCTTTTAGAGAAAAAATGGCTTTCTTCACACGCGTTAATCTCAATGTTCCTGTACTTCCACCCGAAGATTCATTGTGTGAAAACCCATCGTCACCATCACCATCGTTTCAGCACAGGAGACACGCCTCAGAACCAGTTACCACAGAGTATATGGTTAATAAGCTTGGTGCTCAAGGTGTTTTAAATTTGACTTCGCGGTCAAATAGTGTTCCTAGTGGGAATACGTCTATGGTGAAGACTGACGGTGCCGCGACCAATAACACGACTACAGTCACGAACGTGATCGAGGACGTTCCGGCGAACAGTACAAATAAACCTGTGAAGGGCCGATCCACCGAGGCAAACGTGCATTGTCAAGAAAACGGTCAAGGTGGCGAGAACTTGAAATCAACCGAAGAAAATGATGACGAAGAGCCAAGGAGATACGAATACGTAGTCGACAGAGTTCTCGGTGTCGAAGTGTAACGTTTACATCCAATTACCTTTGCCAATAGACAAATCTTGGGTACGAATTAATGCGTAACAGTCCGGTGATTTTGCGGAAGATTGGAAGAAAAAATAAGAGTATATTGTTTCCTCATTTTTTCGAATTCCAGGTGCCATGCACGATGATTAAAGAAAAACTAGATGGAGAATGTTCATTCAAGTATATATTTGAACGGCATACAGATAGTGATGCTAGTATAACTAGTACAACAAATTGAACATGTTGCTGGTATTTGTTATTGTTTTCTTTCTTTTTTTTTTTAATTATCGACAACACGATACCTTAAGAGAGTCATTTTAGAAAGACTTTCGAAGCAATAGAGAAAAATGCGTGAAACAAGCGCTCTGTACATACAAGAATCATAAATTATTTAAATGAGATTTTATGTGAGGATTATTTAATTTCAATTGAATTCCATCGGGTTCCTCCTTTGCATCCCGGTATATTGCTAGATAATATCGCTTTGCTCACTATTTTTCTTGCATATTTCCTCGTCAGAGCGTACACGGCCCCACCGAGCAGCTGGACTGCGATATTGAACATATAATGAACGAAGGAAAAGAAAAGAAAAGAAAGTAAAGGGAAAGAGGAAGAAGTTATCGCCCTGGTTGGCTGAACTCTGCCTCAATTCCATTACTGCCATTTCGTAACGTGTTCGCAATTAGAATTTCGGATACTCGGCCTTTTGGCTACATCGACGATGATGGTCAAGTATAAATGTCTTTTTATCACGCGTTTAACGAGGAGTTGAGTTTCCGTTTCAATTAGATAATTCTCAATCATCTGAAGAAATGTTACAAGATGTATTGACATCGTGAAACTATTCGTACTCTTGATAAAAAAGATATAATGATATCGTAAAATTAATCGGGACAAAAATTAGAAAAGATATTATGAAATGAAAAAAATGACAGCGTTAATACTATGTATTTCTAAAAGATTCTAATTGATCAATTAGATCAATTAGTATGTATACTTATGACATAATACATATTGATACAAACGTCTACATCTATATGTATGTAATATTTATTAATGTACTAATCGTCAGGCTATGGATGTTCATATAGCGGCATATGATTATTTTGATCCATCATTTGTACAAATTTCTAAACTTTTAGTGTAAAATTTGCTGTTGTTATCATTTTGTTGTGTTAAAAACATTATATAATATTATATAATATTATAAATTATAATGTTATATATTATTATATTGTAATATTATAAACATTATATGATAATATTATAATAATTATATAATATAATAATAATTTTATTTATTAAATTTATTAAATTTATATGTGATGTTATATATTTCCGTCAGACGATTACAACAACAGTCGGGTCAAAATAATCCGATATTCTTTAAGCGAATCCAAACAACGAGCCATTAATATTTTAACAATTGTAGGAATAAATAAATGTACGTATTGTTAGTAATACGAACGGAGCGATTTTATTTTTTAAAATTTATAAGGCGGAAAAGATATGAAGGAATAGCGTGTACGATTTTCTTTCTTTAAAGATATTATTTCGTTGAAGCGGAATTCATGATATAAATAATGTGTAATGCTTGTTTTTAAAAAATTCAAAAGTACCGAGCGATTACGAAAATAATGTTACAAGACACGAGAATTGAACATCAATTTTCCTATACGACTGTTTTTTGCGTGTACATCGAGGAACCTGGTAGAGATTGAATTCTCTTCTGGAGATTAGATGAAAATCTTCGAGACAACAATTATGTAAATAACTCTGTATATTTGCATTGACAATCATGTTTTTGCATCTATAAGATATAAATATATATAGATACGAATTATATATCCATGTATTTACGAGTGCATGTGTGTGAGTATATATGTTGCAACATGCGTTATGTATATGTATGTATGCATGTGCCTATATAATGTATATATAGGACAGAGAAAAGAAAAATTATTCGATTAATTTGTGTATGGTCCGTGAATATTTTTGTGCATATTTTTGTAGTAAAATATGTGTACAATTCGTACAATAGCTTTTGTTACTTCTTTGATGATGCAGAGGAAGAAACGGAGGCCTCTTGTGTAATAGAATTACGCTATCAAAGGACCTATTACATCTGTATGTATTTAATTAATATGTTGTATTAACGTATTATATACCAACGCGACGTTTTGTCTTACTCTGTTGAATCAAATATAACAATGATGTCAATGACAAATGCTGAACGATATGGGGCAATGATGGTCACGAAGTGCGATTATGATAAACGGTAGTAAAATAAAATTAAAAAACAAAAAAATGATAATGCTGTTAATAACGGTATCAATGATAATGGCGGCAATGAGTATAATAGAACATGAAATATGAATCATGGTACTGATATCAATAAGAATAGTAGTAACGGTAATAATAAGTTCGTAATGAAATAAACACATACATAACACGTACATCCTTCGAGAAACAACTACATTATGACTTGTAAGTAATGATAATGATTTAAATGGTAGTGATTCATATGATAACGATTAAAAGAAAAAATATAGTATATATATATATTCTTGCCATATTATTTTTTGTATCGTAAATTTTGTTTCTCAGACTTTTAATGATTAATATATTTCTTTTAACTCCTGAACCGTTTTATGTGTGTGACTAACTATTCAGTGGTGCAATAAAATCATTCTAACAAAGTAGTCCGAGTAACGTGAAAATCCGACTATATTTCCAAATTTGAAATCTAACGCGACGTATGTAAATATCCGAATAACCAAATTCCTTTCTTATTTTCAAAGTACAAAAACATTTGTTTGAAACTGATTGCAAAGATGCAAGGTATAAAGTGAGTCGAGTACTAACAATTTCTCAAACAACGAAAGTAGAAATAAATACAGAAATATAGAAATATTTTATTCACCATTATACGTGAAATAAATAAAAGAGAAATTGACGCGAATTTTTTTTTTTAGAATTGTAATTAACACAGTATTAAAATCTCGCAGATCTTGTGTATATATTCGTTTTATCAAAATAGAAGTGATCCGGCCGTGACTTCGTAATTTCTCACAGAAATTTCCTAGATTGACAAGTAACAGTTAATAATATTAGTAACGTTCGTTAAATAATATTTGATAACATAGAAGCGAAGAATCAAACATGTTCTTACGCATGTTTGAAAAATTGCGCCGGCGCAGTGCATGGGTCCTGGGGTCCACCAGGATTGGCCGAACGGTTTAGGGTTTAGTAGACCTGTGGACAGCGTCTCGCTCTGTTTTAGCACAGTGGGAGTACATCCGGCGCGATGTTGTTATGTGGTGTTTTGTGTACTGCATTGTCAGTTTCCTTCGGTGCAATCGTACAAATTCTAATATTCCTTCTGCAAAATTCGTACATCTGGAAAGTACAAGCTTCCCTTCCACCGGGAGCTGGTTAGTTTTTGTCTCACTACATTTCTCTAGATTGAAAACGTTCGAATCAAAGGTGTTGTGGCGTTAGACCGATTGATGTAATACGATCTACATGATAAGATTGCCAGCCGCTAGCTGCATATACTAGAAAGTTTAAATCGACAAGTTATTTTTACTTCCGTTCCTTTGCTTTGATCGTACGATTCATTCATATTCTATTAAAACATTCCTTCACTTTTGTTTAATTTTATCTCTCATTTCGGCATTTTCTTCTTACGTGCTCGTCTCACTTGGTGCATGCGTAAATTCTTAAGTAGTCGAACAAAAAATTGCAGATTTATTTCAATTGTTTCTCGTTTCATTCGTTTCCTCATTGGCGCGCATTTTTCGAAAACAATCGTCGGCTTACGTCGTGAAGAAAGTTTACAACTCGTACGTCATAGAGTCCGAGCTTTCGTGACCACCGTGTATTATCGCAATGCACGTATGTCGAGCCACTGGAAATCGTGTCACTGAAGAAACTAGGTGGCAGAATCTGGAAGAGACGTTTTAAGTAATTCAAAGCGGTCAGCTGCAAGTGTCCGTCGGCTAATCGATATTATTATTATCGGCAGCGTGCTTCCCGGTGTACATGCATACACACTTCACGCATGTGTAGCATCAAGTTCTATGTAAGTAGGCACTATACAATTCGCTGACATACGGAGCATTTAACACTGGTTTGAGTCACGCTTCCTCCGAGCATTCCCACGCAACCAGAACTATCTGTTGGATCCGAATAATATTGAACTTGAATGCCAAAGACCTTTGGCTCACTATACCAGACTCGGCAAGTCGATATTTCGACGTAACGTGTAAATACGTAGATACGTAAAGCGTGTTTCATTCGTGATTAATTTGATTATTTTCATTTCGTTCTGTTTCGTTGTGTTTGATGTTGTCAATTATAACATGAAGATTAATATATCTCTTTTTTTTTCAATCGAAACGAACATAAATGGCTCCTATACGGAATAATTCATTTTTAACATGACCATGGACTATAGTCCATTTCACGAGAAATGAAAGTGCAAGGAATAGAAAGTTTATATTTTGTGAATTCAGTTTTATTGCAAGAGCACGTACAGTAGCTGCAACTATTGGCATGCCATAATTTATCATAACATTCATCACAATTAATATTTACTTCATAATTAATCTATTATCATTAATGATATTTATCACATGAATTATAAACTAAGATTATAAATTATAAATCATAGAACTAGAATTAAGCGTTTAAAAAATAATCAATCAGAGTTAAGAGTTATATAATATAGACTGTAATAAAAAAAAAAAAGAAGAAAACGTTTCATTGAAAAATACGAGGTTGCGCTGATACTTTTTATAGCTGTTGTCTAGTCAGAACTGTTGGCAATGAAGTTTCGTGTGCTGCACGAGAAATTGAAGTTGGATAACAGGTGAGAGTTTAACTAGATAACGTGACCAATGATAATTCGTAACATCGTGCGCATCGGAAGGGGTTGTAAAGGCATGGTCTGCAACAGAATCGAAGGTAAAGCTTCGAGGACTAATCAGAATCA